GGGGGGTGGTGTGAAGGTTTGGGACAGTGTAACTTAAATAAGTGGATTATCTTACATTTTGGGCATTCTGCATACCTGCCCTTACCTTCACTGAATTCCAATTCAGCCCCTGAACAGATTGTTCAATTTGGTTACTGAAGTTTCATTGTCATGCAATTCAGTCCCTTCAACTTTCTGATAATTGCAAATTGGTGCCTGAACTTTTTCGAATATTTCAGATATTAAGTATTATAAGTTCTGTTATGCGGTCAAATATACTTCGGATTCCATACCTTTACAAGTATTATAAGAGTCAGCTGGCTTATAATTTCAGCACACATTAAAATTGCGGTTGAAATCCACCCAATGAAATATCGTAAGAGGAATAACAATGGATCCTATGAAATGTATGCATAATAATGAGTAATAAATGATAAATGTTCAATTGAAATTAATGTTAGGAATCTGATAAATGTGACAAAATTCAATTATCCAGATCGTTTTTTCTTATATAGAATCCCACTTTGTTCAATATTGTGCAGTTCATTTATAGAATAGAAAGGAAAAAAAAGGGAACTGCAGATTTACTGCAAGAAAACTTCACTTAAGTACCGTCATCATCATTCATCAATGGCTATTTGTTCAGACTCACGTGCGACGTCGTTGAGTTTAAGGAGGGAGTTGAAAAAGAGGGACATTTTCCTTTATTCACTGACATTGGGAACTCACATATAAAACTCCCTCTACAAATACCCATGCTTTAATGCTTCAGTGCAGTGTTAATACTTAATAGTATATATTTAATATCAAGAAAATGCTTTGCTGTAGTCAAGATTTAGAATTCACTAAAATACACTGTGTTCAAAGCCCACAGACCATATTCACACACATACCCACGTGTGTGTCTGTGTGCAAATATGCCACCCATTATATATAATAACATCTCATCTCATTCAGTACTTTGTTAGACTTCTCTCAAATCTCAAATTTCAGACCAAAAAAACAACAGTCTTAGCATCTTCACATTCATGGCTACATCGAACATTTCGAGTGCATCTGTCTGAATTCTCAAGAAGCATTGAATGAAAATCTGTGACCACCTGCAATCCGAGGTATGTAAATTTTCAAAATCTTCAATGAAATCGATGAAAAGCATTGTTGTATATATGTTCTTTCTATGACATCGAGATTCAAACTTTAAGTAGCAACATTATACGATTCAATGTCATTACCTTTTCACCAAAATTCCACTTTAGGTCCAAATTATCAATGTGCATATTCAGAATAAATACACGATGCTAGAGATTATTTGACATCTCGACTATGATTACTCCCTGAATAGAAAAGTTACATTTATGTTTGAGTGTAAGTATGATCGTGCATCCCATAATTGGCTTTGGATTTGTAGATCTGTTAAGAAAAAGGAAACATAAAATTATATTCCTTTACATTTTAAATCACATCTCCACCATCCATCCTATTCTCCTTGATTGATTCTTTGCTTTTAGCCTTCTTTATTTTATTATTATATAATATAGTTTTTTTTTTCTTTTTATTATCCATTGGGACGGCCATATTAGTTTATCTCATACAAATTCAGTCTTTAAATTACACTTTCTTCATCAAAAAGCAGCTTTTAATTTGACTTTTTAAACCCCTTGTGGTTACTGAAATTTTAAGAGTAGAATACTAAGATAAATTAACATTAGCATTATTAAAAAGTGAAATAAAGCCATGGTTGCTTTCGGCTTATTTTGACAGTAACGTGAAAGAGTTGTTCGTGTATCAGATCCTAGTCATCACGTGAAAAACTTGAAATAAATTAACTAAAAAAATCGAGTCTCGCCAGGCCATGAAATCACAAATAAAAGCGCATGTTTGGTACACATTTTGGGAGTAAGAATGCATTTTTACTGTTAATGTGATGAGGAATATATAGTTGAAAAAGAAAGAAAAGTTATTGATGTGACGTAAAATATAATTTTATTGAAGAATGTGTGGTTGAAAATGAGTAAAAGAATGTGACTCAAACATGAGCTTAAATCAACGTAACGCCCCATGTGGAATCTCCATGCCCTCATTGGAATTTGTTTTTTTTCCTCCAATTAATAAACAAAATAGAAAGCAGATCTTGGGAACTCATAAATTGTTGCCGGGGAATTAGTTTTGTTAATTTCATTTAATCTTTCTTGTTACAATAAACGAGGTAAAATATTTGTATCAATATAGATTCCCTGCCCTACCCCCACTCCATCCACCCACCAACAAGATCTTATAGATTTCTGTGTGATTTTCACCTTAGTTAAAGTGTGATTAAAATAAGTGAATCCGATACGATTTTAGTGTAAACCCGATTCTCTATTTTTTTGTTAATAGACGGTGTTTTTTATTTGAACTGTCATATCTTGTCCAGGTAGTTCGAGTGATAATCAGACGAGAGTCCATGTAAAAATTAGGGCTTGTGCTCAAGCTATTATAATTCGAGCAGAGATCCTATGTTCAAATTTTGGGGAATGCGATAGGCAAACTCTCTCAAAACGAACAATACGTATAATTTAACAGCTTGAACACAGTATCGAGTCCTTACAATCCAAGTTTTTGTTGCTATTGTGCCTTGTGCAATAAGAAATATCAGCGTGCATTTGATCGTTATGTTTGTCACGCTTCATATCTCTAGGCTATAAAAATGGAAAATTATCTATCCATCTATCATGTCTATAAAAATGTATCAAGTAACAGGCAGTAAATATTTGAAATCTAGGTGCTGTAAAAACATTCATTGACAATTCAATGCAGAAGATGTTATGGAACAGTTTTAAAAGCAAGACATGAAGATTAATGATAGAATTTCAGACATTCCAATGAGAGAATGATTTTCACCAATTTGGTTTCTGTGTGTTGTGTCTCTATCTATGGACTGATATGGTCAAGTCTCTCACATTCCCTTCAACCCCACTTTTCTTCTTTTAGACCCATTTCAATGTAGTCCAGTCCAGTCAATTTACTATCACCTTAATTTCTCTCTGTCTTGCCCTTTGATTCTACATACATAAAACTTTTTAGCTAGACTTTGATGTTTATGGGATATTTAGGTTGGGTCCCCAACTTTTTTGTGTGGTGTGGTCATGGATTCCAGCCTACATAAATTTGTGAATTTGGATCTTCACGTGATCGAAATTGTCAAAATGATACAATCATGTGCGACTTAAAAGACGAAGAATAAAACTGTCATACTACTTAATATTTCTTACCAATTCAAATTAAAATCACGTTCAACTTTAATGTCAACATTGACAGTTTTGATCAGGTGGGGATCCAGATTCACATTTTAGTGTTTATTTGGGAGAGATTTTTTGAAGTAAAAAAATGAACATATGTTGTGAACCCAAAATCACACTACACAAAAAGTTAGGGAGACGTTTAAAGAAATATATGGTCGACATTTAACAAGCTTCTTGTTCATAAAAATGACAATCAACTTAAAAGAAGAAAGAATTTGAGAACGACGTAGAGTTAAATGAACGAGAGGTTGTTAAAAATCGTAAGTTCCAAAGCTAGAGGACGAGCTAGGGTTCTAATCGAAGTGATAGAACGACGAGAAGGGGGTGAAAAAAGTCGATTCATATAGTCAGCCTTAAACGCGTACTAGTTGTAAATATCTTGTGTTGTGTACTAATTTACCCAAAATCGTTAAGAGTAAATAATTGGTAAATATTTCACCATGCGACTTTCTATATTGTGAACGCGATAAATAAATATTGAGATACAAAAGCAAGCACTAAAGCAACTGACAATTTTTCTGAGTCTGAAACTGAGTCTGAGTGTTCTCAGGTGTGTCTATTTTCAGTCCTACTTTGCTATAATCTGCCATTTTTCTCTGCTCAAAGAAACATCACATTATCATAATATTTCTCTTACAGTGAAATTGACTTAAATTACATGTATTCTATACCTCTTTTGAATTACCAGAATAATTGCATGGAGAAACATTTTTCAACTCTGTATATGTGTGTAGGTGTTTCAAGAAAGTGAGATCAAATGGATGAAAACCCATCTCCGGGATCATCAAGAAATGGTGCCATGCGCCGCCACCGCAATCGCCAAGCAGTGGTGGATGACGACGGAGTGGATAAGATTACGTGCACAGGGAAGTCATGTCAATCTTGCACCGCCGGAGTGATCGCCGACTGTGTTGCCGTCTGTTGCTGTCCATGCGCCGTCGTGAACCTCCTTGCACTGGCGTTTATCAAGGTGCCGTGGATGGTGGGCCGGAAGTGCTTCGGCATGGGCAAAAAAAACCGGCAGTTAAAGGAGAAGAAGAGAAAATCTGAGAGGAGTTACAGCGACTGTCGTGGGGACACATTTGGAATTTCTGGAAAGGGACGGATAAATGGAGGGACAATATTGGAAATTGTATCACCTGAGGAAGAGCTACCGGACAATTTTAGCGCGGGGTTTGAGGATGAAGAAATTTTTCATTTGGGTTTTGGTAGGGTCTCTTTCACTGGAATTCCTTGTGAAACTAAGGGTAATTAGGGAAATATAATTTTTGAAAAATTATTTCTTGCTTAAGAAAGTTTAAACATCAAATTTTTTTCCTCTTTTTTCGGCCTCAAAGGATGAGAGTAAATGTCCATTTTACCCTTTGGCCTTGGAATTTGAATTTGATGTATGGCTCGACTAGTATTTAGTACAGAAATGAAGAATTTGCTGCTGTCTCTTTGTAAATTGTACAGTTAATTTTGAAGATTTTTGCTTAAATTCTTAATTCGGATTAATTAATTAAAAAATTCCCACCTTATAGTTTTGTAATTAAGCTTTGATAACGGCAAAAGAAAGAACTGTTACTTGACAAGGAAGGTTAATTTGAATCAATTAATGTTTATATCCAATTTTGTGTCTATAAACATCCTATTCGTAGCATGCTTTAGTGTTTTGTTGTCATTTTTGAATTATTCATCTTCGTGCTAAGCATAATTTTGTTTACTTCATGTTGATGAATTTGTTTAAGCTTTAAAAAAACTTCCGTCCAAGTAGGTCGGATCTAGTTGACATGCAAAAAATTTCGTTTTACTAACTGGCAAGTTATAGAATCAATTGACATGCGCAAAAACATAGATAAACCCAAATCCGCCAGCGCACGTCGATCCAATGTACGGATGCAACGAGGGTGAGCCCGGGGAAGGATCTGTTGATCATCGAACGAGGACTGAAGACTCAATCAAGGGCAAAGCGGGTTAAGGAAGTGATGGGGTTGCTAGCTCAAGTTACGGTGGACGAAACATTGACCGGGACAAGCCAAATGTCAATTTCCATGTTGGGCTCGGGGGCGGAAGTCCAATTGATCACGTTGATCGAGGCAGAAAACAAGGAGTCTGAAATTCATAACTATGCGTCTGCATAGCTATTTCAGCCATACGGTCGCATGGTTCAAACGGGAGGACAAACTTTCATTTTAGCGAATTTTCCTTATTTTACTAAAATTCTATTTTTATCGCAATATTTTGTAATCCTAGCAAGTTATTTCCGGTTCAACTAGAATTTTAGGCTTTTCCTATAAATATTGACATTATATTCATTGTATGAACAACCTACATTATTATTGAGAATTAATCGTGAGGCTTTTTTAACTTTCAAATTCCTTGTTTTTCATTGAGTAATTACAAACTTATCAAGAATCGATTTCTTGTGGAGTTCAAACATTCGGATTAGATTCATAAGTCGTGTAATCAAGATGTCAACTTATTGTCGGCGATTGTGTTAGTTGCTTGGTTCATTAATTTTGGGTTTATTGCTACGTGGTTCTCATCAATAGTGAAGGTGAAGTGTGAAGGATTTGATATTTGAGCGGTTGAAAGAGTATGTCCTGAAAGTTTTGTATTGCTTTATATGTAGATAATAATGATTTTAGTTATGACTCTTCTTCTACAAGTTGGGTAATGGCCTGTGGATTACTTTTGGGAGCAAAATCGGAGATTTCGGTAGTCTTATGAATGGTTGATAAATTGCAATTGTAATTGTTTTTAAGTAAGATCCGTAACTCTGAGGCTTAAGAAATAAAGAAAACGAATACTTTTTTGAGTGGAAGGAGACGACCCTAATAAAACGATTATACGAAGTAAGCTGTTGGTCATATAAACACTCAAATTCTTCGATCTTTATTGTCCTTGCTCCGATGATCAATCATTTCTTTCACAAAGGACAAGAAGTACTCAACTGTTGGCATGTGCCTGGTATGAATTTTGAGAAATGACTAGTGAAGAAATAAGTGTATGTAATGCCTCAACGAAAAGGAGAAAAACTTGCTACATTTTGCAGGAGTGAGTGAATTGGTCTGGTCCAGTTCTTCTAACATGCATTGCCAAAAGAGGAAAGAGGATTACATGCTGGGAACTAAGGCTATTTCCAAAATATCCATTTTTCATTAATGGGATAAGTGTTAATTTCCAGGTAATAGAGCTGATTTTTAAATGAATTGGCCAAAAAATTGAATTATTGGTTATTTGGGTAACAATGTCCTCTTTATTCTTTTTAAGTACGAATTTTAATATCGAAAAAAAAATATTATATATATATATACACACACACAAATACATGCACTATCCTATAAATAGTATTTGGATCTCATGTGATAAGTGTATTTTATATACTTATTTGGACCGTTAAATTAGACTAATTGTTGATGAATTATACGAAATATGGTTTAATTCTGTGTAAAAATTGATTTATAGGTAAACATCGATGACACTGGTTGGGTTGGAGAAAACGCGCAAGAAAAGGGCTAAAGTGAAGCAAATCCAAAGTTCGGTAACTAAAATGAAAATACTCCAAAGTTGTGTCGGACTTCATGATGAAGATTCGAGAATGTTATGGGTCAATTGAGTGAAAAAAGAAGTCCAATGAAAGAAATATAGCCAAAGTATTGTCACACATCAATTTCTAGCAGAAAAAGTTATACTCCAAATTTTCAACTTCAGATTGAGCTCATTTTTTGGCATTACAAACATTCGAATTGGAAAATGATATTTAAATAAGAGTTGTAACTATTTGAGTTATCTTTACAATGCATTTTGAATCGTTTCAATCGAATATCGGGAAAGAAAGTTATGACGAAAATATTGAAAACTATTTGGGACAAGCCCAAGTACGCGTCTACACCTGCAGTGGAGACACACGTCTCCTCCTCTTCTAAGACCAACTGAAGCTACCAAGTTCACAAAGGCGTGCGCCCTGGCTAAGCCTATGTGCACGCCCCAAGGTAAAATGGGAAAAAATTATTCTTTCCTTTTCCTTAATTCAGTATATTTTAGAATGCAATTTTTTTTTTTTTACATTCTATATATTCCAAGGCCATCAAGAACGTCCAAAACCTAGTTTTCATCATAGAAGAGGAAGAAAATAGATATTTTTACATTCAAAGAAAGGAATTACATCTTTTGAGGTCAAATTTCAAGTGAGGAATTGAAGTTTTCACGTTCTTCTCAATTTTCTTAATCTTGGGTGATGTCGTTTCAACCTTTTTTATTTTTATTTTTTTTTATAATTTTCATATTGTAATGTTCGGCTAAATCTTTTATATATTGGATGGATGATAAAGCCGTTGATTTATAGTTTTTAATTCAAGACTTATTATTTTTTAGTTAATTATTGTGTTCTTGATTATATATGCATGAATCTTGTGTTGTTTGAATTTTTGTAGTGTTGGAATTGTGTAAGAAAATTTTGTGTGCGCTTTGCATATGAATTTGGATTAAAAATATGATCGGACGTGTTAAGTATAGATTAAATATATTTTGGAAGAGAATGTTAGATACTAACGGATTATTGATTGTCATGAACACATTAATCAATCTAACTTATATAAGTCGAGAATTGGAACTAGATGTCAATAAATGGATTCTAAAATCCAATACATTCATCTCATATTTGGATAAAAACCAATCTTTTATAGCTTTCATAATTTTAATTACAATAATAACACAAACAAATCTCTTTTATGTTACAATAAATCGAATTTTATTATAACTAGTAAACTATAATTACAATTATTTCTCGTCTAAATCTATTACTTGTCAACAGTTTCGTACAATTACGAACTTTGTGTGAACACCGCGTTTATAAATAGTATTTAAGGTTTGTTTGTAACCTCCTTAGAATAAACGATGAAACTTAGGAATAAAGTTAAAAGTATAGATATTGTGAATGATATATAACTTTCATTTTATTTGTCGGGGATAATTTTACTTCTTAAATGTAATTTTTTACTTAAACTCACCGCCCACACTATAGTCCATAGAGGTGATCATTGTCAGTCCCGGATGGCATTATTCTTGATATGATGATTCGTACAAAACAAAGAGCATGTTTAACAAAAAATAAAATAAAAAAGTTCCACGATTTTTGAAGTTCTCGATTCCTTCATACATATTGAAGACGAAGATCTTGAAATTAATATCAAGAAAGATTGAGAACCTGCTGATGGCTTATTGATTATAAAATGTTGTTTGTTCTTTTGGATGCAGATGAGAATAGCTGTAGCATTAGACGTTCCTTGCATCTTTGAAGGGATTTTGTTCCTATTTCTAGCTTTGTCAAAAACACTCGAGGGAGGCTTGTGCGAGCTGAGACAGCCCATTTCGGCCAAATCCACCTTGGGATGGACCTACATTCCTAGACCGGCCACTGAGAAATTTGTCAACAATACTCAAGCTTTTTTAGGGCTCTTTGTAACCAGCAAGCTGGTTTGAATCAACATATTATCATCAGACAAATAAGGGCACAATGGCATCAGCAAAGAACACTAGTAACATATAACCACAACAGTTGGTTTAAGCATTTGAAAAGATCGAACAAAAATCTTTCTGCAGCCGTATCTTCTTTACAATGGGCAAAAATTAGAAGCTTTTCACCTCAGATTCAAACTGCATTTCTTGACATTTATTCCTAAAAACTTCCAATCGATGAACCAAAATGGGAGCTATTAGCCGGGATGTGTAAATGCACATGCAAATGAGTCACTGGAAGAATTAGATATTGGGTTCATGAAGAACTTTTGTGAAATAAATCTAATACGCATCAAACTAGCAGAATACGCTTATTCTCCAACTAATATCATACAAGAAACCGAAGAGAGAGATGGCATTAGTTCACGACAACAGTAGATAAGAGAAGAACTAGGTCAATGAACAGAATTTGACATTACCATTACCAACCATCAGATCCGGTCATAGATCAGAACCAATAACTCCGATAGTCAAATCGCGATCTGTTTACGTCGTTGTGCTTTCAACATCAAATGTAAGTTGAATCGAGATCAACTCTTAGATGGTTGACTTGCGATATGCTTCGCAACCACTACCAGTGCTTACCGTCGTGCTTCGTCGCACATAGTGGCTCCGAAAAAGATACGACTTTGGTTTTGTTCCACCTCAAGCAACGGCAAACCGTTGTGTGCATCGGCTTTCTCTGGCAAATTTGCTCCGCCCTAAGGGTTCAATAGGGGATGGTGGAGTGGTGGTAGGGACTAGAGAGAGTGAAAATGATGAGTGATGGATGGAAGAAAGAAAGATACAGAGAGACCTATAGAAAGAAATAGAGAGAGTGGAGGGCTAGGTTTGAGATTAATGGGGGTGGGAGAGACCTGCAGAAAGAGAGAGAGAATGGAGGGTTAGGTTTGAGATTAATCGAGGTGGGGGTGGTCAGGTTATTATGCAGATTAAGACTTAATTAAATTTTTATTAATTTTAATTATTAAAACATAATTAACACCTGATTTTTGAAAAGAATACTTACTCTCCCTTTTTTTTGAAAATTAATCTGTTTTTAGGTAATTTTCCCTTGAATCAACATATTATCATCAGACAAATAAGGGCACAATGGCATCAGCAAAGAACACTAGTAACATATAACCACCAAAGTTGGTTTAAGCATTTGAAAAGATTGGACAAAAATCTTTCCACAACCGTATCTTATTTACAATGGGCAAAAATTAGAAGTTTTCACCTCAGATTCAAACTGCATTTCTTGACATTTATTCCTAAAAACTTCCAATCGATTAACCAAAATGGGAGCTATTAGCCGGGATGTGTAAATGCACATGCAAATGAGTCACTGGAAGAGTTAGATATTGGGTTCATGAAGAAATTTTGTGAAATAAATCTAATACGCGTCAAACTAGCAGAATACGCTTATTCTCCAACTAATATCATACAAGAAACCGAAGAGAGAGAGGGCATTAGTTCACGACAACAGTAGATAGAATACGCTTATTCTCCAACTAATATAATAAAAGAAACCGAAGAGAGAGAGAGCATTAGTTCACGACAACAGTAGAATAAAGAACAAAAAGCTACATGAACAGGTCAAATCTGTAGATTAACCTAAGCCTCATCATACTTAGAACTTGTCCTTGTGCGATGATGCATTCTCAACCACTCTTTTAACCTTTTCCACAGATGTTTCTACTTTCTCCAAGAGGGATTTAAGCTCATCCTTCAAGCTGGATTTGTCCGCGGGTGAAATTTTGTCACTGCAGTTTTCCAGCATTGCTTCCATCGTCTCGAGTTTCTCCCTGATGATGCCAACATCAGGCAACTCGCCCTCTGCATGCTGGGATGAGTCTGGCTTCTCGGAGGTTCGCTTAACGGGAGACGAGATTTTTGTATGAGAACCATGAAGCGTTGAACCAGCCGAAGAATGCTGCAGCGTATAGTTAACACTCTGGCCAGGGAACGGACTTTGGTTTATGGAGGATCTGAAGGCTTCTTTTGCATCACGATCATTCATGTAGACAACCTTCACACTCTGAGAATCTGGCACCAAGCAAGTTTCTGTTTCATTCAGACTCCCAAACCTACCAAACAATTGAACAATATCCTCCTTCGATGGCAAAGTGAATCCAGAGGAAAATGTCAAAATGAGGGATGTTAATGAGGTTTTTCTCTGGGCCTTATCAGAACTTGTTTTTGAGCCAGAAATCCCATCAGCTTTTCTGGGCCTGGTTATATCAGACTTCACTACTTGCTTTTCTTTCCTGGCCTTGGCACTTTTCGGCTCTGAAGATCTGGCCTTTTTCTGGGTAAGATCATTTCCTAGATTATCTGGCTGAGAGTGCAGTGACTTTCTTTTCCGACCTGATTGGCATTTATGAAAAATCTTGTAGTCCGATCCCTGTAAATAGATTGAACTCCTGAATGCAGAAGTAAATTTCGAGACTTCATTAAGGTAACTCTTCTTGGTCAAGTAAACATGATCAACAGCTGCAAACTGAATCTCAGATAACATATCAGTAACGCTAACATCCACTGCAGAAGTAAATGCTGTCTTCTCTGTATCCTCGCCTGCCTTGCTCACATTATATGTGTCAAGTCCTTTCTGCTGTTTGTCAGGCAGTTTCTCCACAGGTACATCTTCCACCTGAGCTATCTTGGTAATTTTCTCTATTTCAATTTCTGATCCTTTCTTAAAGCTTGAGCTTCCTTCCCTCCAATTTAGGTTTGTGTAAGGAGGAGATAGGTACTTGCTCTTCTTCCTTTCCCTAGGAGAAGATACAGTTTCAGATCCCTCTACAGCTTCTCCAGTGACATTTCCCTCAGCAAAAGCATTATTTTCCTTTGGTCTGCTTAACAAAGGATCTTCATTTTTCATCTCCATGCCTACATCGTCACTTGCAGCATTTGAAACCTTATTCTCTGAGATTTTAGAGGATTCAGAAATTGCAGCGTTCCTCTTCCCAACGATCTTCTTCCGCATTGAAGAATCTCCACCATTGTCACCATCCTCTACGCCCATGTCATTACCCTTCCTCTTCTTGGCAGATTTGGACTTGCCGGAATCTGTTCCTTCTGTGACTGTAGTTCTCTTCTTAATCTTGGGTTTAACTTCTGGGTTTTCCTTCATAAGTTCAGCAACACTTTTCTGCTTCCTCCCGTTTGAAGGAGCAGCAGAATTCCCAGTACCTTCTGTGGGTGAAGCGGGGGAATCATCTTCAAGTGGACCAATAGGGACTTCAATTGGAACACTAAAATCAATCATGACCTCATCATCCACTTTGTTACTTTTATTTTCAATCACATTTTTACTATTGTCTTCCAGACCTTCAATTTCTTGGGGTTCACAATATACAGGCAAACACCCACCACCTTTTGAGCGATTAAAGGCAGAAAGCCAACTCTTCAAAACTGCAAACTCTATCATACTGCCAACAGAAACAGCTACTGCAATGCTTCTCACTCTTGCAAGTAATTCTGAAGGCTCATATGTAGGAGTTGAAAGCCTACTAATATCAACCTCTGGCACGAGAACTCCGTCTTTAATTCCAACATTTGCCACCAGTGGCCGAGAAAGTCCAACTTTACGCTCCTTGGGAATACATTTACATGTCATCTTTGACTCCACAAGTCTACCAACCTCATCAACAGCCCTTTGAACAGCATTGAGAAAGCTCTTAGAACTACTGTCCTTCGATGTCTCTTCAAAGTTCTCCACAAAAGGTATTAGCTGAGATGGCAAGCACCAAGCACAAGAACCATCCCCAAAAAAGGCTACCAAGAGACGACCAGCCTGACCAGAATGGCCATGCTTCTCTGCAAATTCTGAAGCATCCAATGGATTATGAATTTGTCCAGGCCACCACGGATGACTTCTAATTTTACCCCAAACAAGATCTCCTACACGAAATCCATGCTCCTGACCCACCAATTTTTCTTCATTCTCCATTTTTTCATTATCAGCACCCACAATTTCAGTATTTCCATCAACACCCACCTTCCCCCTTTCTTCCCCAGTTTGTCCTGCATTTTTATCCATATCAGTAACAGTGCCATTCAATTGTTTGTGATCACTACCCAAAACTACTACATTCTCTGCACTGGAGCCCTCCCCGTCTTTATTTTCAAATCTTTTCTCCCTGCCATCAGCGTCATCTGAAGAACCAGAATCAACTCCAAGATTAACAGAATTAGTCGCGTCAACATTAGATGCATGATTAATATTCTCAACTCCATTTTCTTCATCCTTCTCAGCACCTAAATCAGATTCCAACTTCTCAAAACTAGTCTCCACAACAGTTTCCGTCTCAACAACATGCTTGGTAACTATAACAACTGAATCATCATCTCTGTTCAAATCAGAAGAACTAACCTGCTTTAACAGGTTCTCTTCCGGTTCAGGACGGGAACCCCAGTTCCCTTCCTGTTTAGAATCTGAATCGCCCATTTGCACTACAGAAGACTCGGCTATTTCTGCAGAAGAACCAGCAAGAATTTTTCTAGCAGCTTCAATTTCTTGAGAAGTTGCCATTTCTGTAGAAAACCCAAGTTTACGAAACGCCAACAAAAAACACTGCTCGAACAGTTCTTCCAATCACCACTGTAGTTATAATAACCCGAAAGGAAACCAAATAAATAATAGTACGAGTAAACCGAAAATCCACAACAATTTTTTCTAGGGTTTTCACTCCCAGAAAAAATAAACCAAATAAATTACAAACGCACGAGAACCCACATAAAGCAAAGGGGCAAATATAACGGGGGAAAAAAAAAGAGCCTGAAGAAATCAAGTTCGAAAAGTTCAAGATATTACTAAATAATCACTTCTAAGAGTAAAATTACAGAGCAGCGAGAGGAAGAATACCTTATATACATTGAACAAGATTTTTATTAGCCATTTTTTCTTGAAGATTCTTAAAACCTCATTTAGAGTTGAAATTGCAGTTTCACAATGAAGAAAATTAGGGTTTATAAATGAACTTTTCAGCTACTATAGATATAGTGATTAGACAGATGGCCTATTAGGCATTTTTTTTCCAGAAAAGCAAATAAAAGCAAGCAGCGTGTAAATTTTCAGGCGGTGGCGCCGTTTTTGGGTAATAAATTGTTTAAAAATTTGTATTACTCGTGGAAGTACAGTAATGAAGCTACTCGCTCTCTTGTGCTGCTTTGTAAAAAACTAGGGCTCTATAAATTGACGTGGCGTGCAGTGGTGGCGAGTGGCATGGGGATTAGACTCCTGGAAAATGTCAAAGCCTTTAAAGCATTGTAATTAACCGGAAGTAACTGACAGTTGACGGTTCACGACTTCACCGAATTGCATTTTAACCTTTTTAACCAACAGCGGTATCTAATCTTTTCATTTTTTGTAGACTTTACCCTAATATTTATTTTGTGTCAGAAAAAATCCCTACCTTTTCATAAATACGCAGATGGGGTCCACAAAATACCGTCAGTTGACCCAAAAAATTTAAAAAATTGGTATATTGACCCTTTTAAGGAGGGTCAATTTCGTCCAATTAGTATTTCTCATTTGATACTATTCAAATAATTGTATATTTCTCTCCACATTGTTGAATAATATTTATTTTGAGGTCAATGATACTGAGGTGAAATTTGTTCGCAAAAGGGAATCGAAATTGCGGGCTGGATCATTATGGAGGAGGACTAGATCTATGTCCCCTTTGAGCATGACGTCGTTTCTAGATCATGAAAATGACAATACACAGAATGATGATAAGATAACGAGGGAAAATAAAGAGTAAGAACATGGAAGAGGCAGATCGAAAGATATGACGCCGTGTAGATCTGGATCTTCCTCGAGGTCTTCTTCATTTGGGAGGAGCTCAAGAAGATGGGTTTTCTTGAAGGAGTTCTCATATAGGAGCAAAAGTGAAGGTAAAAACAATGAGCATTAATTTTGGAGCTCCTTATCATTTTCATCTGTCAAAGATAAGAAATTTGAGAAGTCCAATTCCAATCCTAAAACCCCATCAACTGAAAAAGCAAATTCAGCACCAGAACTAACAAATTCCAACATCGGAGCCACTAAAAAAGTTACAAATGTGGTGAAAAATAGGGCAGTAAATGGGATTGGTAAAAGAAGGGTGCCAACATCACCTCATGAATTGCATTACACTGCAAATAGGGCACAAGCAGAGGAGATGAGGAAAAAGACATTTCTTCTATATAGACAAGGTTTGTTGGGTTGTTTGGGATTCAGTTCAAAGGGCTATGGAGTCATGAGTGGTCTTGCTAGAGTTTTGAAATTAGTGTCATCAAGGTAAAAAAAAAATGAAAAAAAAAAGTGTAATAGTTTCAAGAAATACTGATTTGATGAAATTGCCCTCCTTAAAAGGGTTAATATACCTGATTTTTTAAATTTTCAGGTCAACTGACGGTTTCCATCTGCACATTTATAAGAGGTTAGGGATCTCCTTTGGCACAAAATGAAGATCAGAGTAAAGTCTACAAACAATGAAAAGGCTAGGAGCCGCTGCTGCAATTTTCCTAAAAATTTTTGGCCTCAATTGCACTTGACCTTTGAGATAGGGGTGGCATTGGCAAGGTTTCTATTTATTCATAAATTAAATCATTTATAATTTTTTTTTTCCAAATGGAAGCATAAATATTATATAGCGATTACGTAGTAGATAAATTATAGAATTAAATTTCGTCAATTTTTGAATGACTGTGATTTTGGCAAAAGTTCAGGGGCTGTTCTCTTCGTGTTTCAATTTTGTGTTTTGAGTTTTGAATTCATTTTGTGTTTTCTGTTTTGAGTGTATGTTTTGAAATTGTTGAAAACGCGTTCTCTTTGTCATTCTGAAAAACCGTTTCTCAAAATAGAAAACTTGAAATGCTTAACGTAAAATTGGAAAAATTGTAGCAACGGTACCTAATCTTTTCATTTTTTGTAGACTTTATCCTAATCTTTATTTTGTGTCAGAAAAAATCCATACCTTTTCATAAATACACAGATGGGTTCCACAAAACACCGTCAGTTGACCAAGAAAATTTAAAAAATTGGTATATTGACCCTTTTATGGAGGGACAATTTTGTCCAATCAATATTTCTCATTTGATACTATTCAAATCACTGTATATTTCCCTCCACATTGCTGAATAAAATTTATTTTGAGCTCAATGATAATGAGGAGAAATTTGTTCGCGAAAGGGAATCGAAATTGCGGGCTGGATCATTATGGAGGAGGACTAGATCTATGTCCCCCTTGAGCATGACGTTGTTTCTAGATCATGAAAATGACAATACACAGAATGACGATAAGATAACGAGAGAAAATAAAGAGCAAGAACGTAGAAGAGGCGGATTGAAAGATATGACACTGTGTAGATCTGGATCTTCCTCGAGGTCTTCTTCATTTGGGAGGAGCTCAAGAAGATGGGTTTTCTTGAAGGAGTTCTTATATAGGAGCAAAAGTGAAAGTAAAAACAACGAGCATTAGTTTTGGAGCTCCTTATCATTTTCATCTGTCAAAGATAAGAAATTTGAGAAGTCCAATTCCAATCCTAAAACCCCATCAACTGAAAAAAGCAAATTCAGCACCAGAACTAGCAAATTCCAACATTGGAGCCACAAAAAAAGTTACAAAAGTGGTGAAAAATAGGGCAGTAAATGGGATTGGTAAAAGAAGGGTGCCACCATCACCTCATGAATTGCATTACACTGCTAATAGGGCACAAGCACAGGAGATGAGGAAAAAGACATTTCTTCTATATAGACAAGGTTTGTTGGGTTGTTTGGGATTCAGTTCAAAGGGCTATGGAGTCATGAGTGGTTTTGCTAGAGTTGTGAAATTAGTGTCATCAAGGTAAAAAGAAAGAAAAAATTCAAAAAAAAAAAAAGTGTAATAGTTTCAAGAAATACTGATTTGACGAAATTGCCCTCCTTAAAAGGGTTAATATACCTTATTTTTTAATTTTTCAGGTCAACTGACGGTTTCCATCTGCACATTTATAAGAGGTTAGGGATCTCCTTTGGCACAAAATGAAGATCAGAGTAAAGTCTACAAAAAATGAAAAGGCTAGGGGCCACTGATGCAATTTTCCTAAAAAATTTTGGCCTCAAATGCACTTGTGACCTTTGAGATAGGGGTGGCATTGGCAAGGTTTCTATTTATTCATAAATTAAATCATTTATAATTTTTTTTTCCAAATGGAAGCATAAATATTAGGGAAATTATAAAAACTCAGGTGTTTAAAGTTTGGAATTCAAAAATCAGGGACCAAATTTCAACCTTCAAAAATCAGGTGCTATATAAAACCTCCAACCCTAATTTTTCACTCAATACCCACTCCCCCATCTCTCTCTCTCTATCTCGCCTGCTCTCTCATCCCCTCCCCTCGCTCTTCCCGTCTCCTCCTCTACCTCTACCTCTACCTCCCCCTCCCCATCCCTCCCTCTGCCAGTAGCTACTGCGAATCAGCCAACCGCGGTGCTGTGAAACAGCTGCTGATTTTTTTGTGGTTGTGATTTTTTTGGTTGTGATTTTGCGGTGGAGGCATGGTAGTGGGTGTGTTAGCTGATTGTTGTTGTTGGCTATTGGTGGTGGTGGTTGGCTGTTGGTGGTGGTTGTGGTTGGCGGGTTGGTGGATCTATTGTTGTTGGCTAGCGGTGATGGTTGTGGTTGGTTGTTGGTGGTGGTGGATCTATTGTTGGCTGTTGGCTGGTGGTTGTGGTGCTGTTAGCTGGAGGTGGTGGTTGTGGTTGGCTAGAGGTGGTGGTTGTGGTTGGGGTTTAGTCGTGTGTTCTGTGGCTGGGTAGTCTGTGTTGGTCGATCTGTGACCTGTG